TTTATATATGTGTGTGTTTTCTGTATGTGTCTCTCTGTTTATATATATTTTATATATAAAAATTGGTCAGTCTGTTAAACTGGATGTATTTTTTTTGTTTTTAATAAAGTTTGCCCTGCCTTTGTCATATTTTTTTTTTTTTATTCCTCTACCACAGGATAGCTACAGCTCTCAGGGTATTTCTCAGCCCCCAACCCCAGGCAACCTGCCAGTCCCTTCCCCAATGTCCCCAAGCTCTGCTAGCATCTCCTCATTTCATGGAGATGAAAGTGATAGCATTAGCAGCCCAGGCTGGCCAAAGACTCCATCAAGCCCTGTAAGTGGCTCTGGTTTTTTTTGGTTTTGTTTATTTTTTTGTAATTAATTATATTTTAATGCTTGCTTGTTTGTTTTGTAAGTTCCTTTTCTTCATTATTTATCCACTAAACAGTTTTCTTTCTTTATAATACTGGGTACAAATTCTGCTCTCGGACACATGACTGTAAGTTCCACTGCCTAGCTTCAGTGGGGCCTGAGCATGCTTATCCAAGGGCAAAATTTGTCCCAACAGTACTTTGAAATAAGAAAGAGTAAAATTGCGTGCATCATGCAAGTGTGCTGTCTGGTAATACAGCAGTTGTTGTGAAGAAAACATCCTTCCTGTAATGCATCAGCTTCCAAGCATGCCGACTGTGTTGTTAAGGACAATTCCATTTCTGTTCCTGGGCCCAAACTCCTTCACACAACTGACTTCACTCTGGTTGCTGCACTTGTCTTTGCTAGGATTATTTAGGAAAAACAAAACAAAACAAAAAAAGAAATCTTCTCCCCTATTGAAACTAAGATCCATCAAAGTTTGAATTGTAGACTCAGCACCATGAAAAAGCTGCCATGTATGTTTTTGAAACATTTTTAATTTTGAATTGTGTATTTGGAAATACAATCATTAGATTATCAAGGCACAGTCTAAAACAAAATTGTTTCTGATTTGCTTCATTCAGTTATTTTGAAATAACCCAGATTTTGGGTAGAAAAAAACTGATAGGTGTATGTTTTTGAAAACTATTTTTCAGATTAGTAATGTTTAGTCATTCTCATACAGGTTGTAAAGAAAAACCTGAGAGAGATGCGTGGAGCTAAAAATAAATTTCATCATATGTATATCTATATATATATACACATAGAAAATCTATATACGTATATAGAAAAGAGAATGGAGATATAAGCTAATATTGCCTATGGGGAGCAAATGTCCACTTGGTCATTTTTGCTTTGTTTCTTGGAATTAGGAATTATGTTGTTCCTCTTTCTTTTCTTTTTACCAAAAGTAATAATGATCATAATTTCTCTGTAGAAAAATACTGCCATATATTTTTGTGAGGAATGTGAAAGTTTTTTTCTGATGTTAATGTACACTTAAAATAGCAATTCTTTGATAACTTAATTTTCACAAAGTGATATGTTGAAGAGTATGTCTCAAGACAAACAGAGGAAGGCCAATTGGAGTGAAAAAGGTCTCCCCATCCAAAAACCAGACATCTCGTGAATCCCCTGAGCAGAGGGGCAGCATGACATGAAATGCACCACCTTAATGTTTTGATGTTTATTTGGCAGCGACTTTGAGTCTCAGAAGGCAGCTGGTGTTACTTGTTCCCACAAAGTCTCATCTTTTTCTTAACAGCATTTCTGAAAGGGTGGTACCGGAAACGGTGTTAGTTTTCTTTGTAGTAATGTTTTGGGTATTGCTTGTTTGGGCGGTTTTCTGGAGGAAAGCAAGAGAGTTATGGCACAGGCTGTCTAACACATCGAGTTATTCCTCTACAAAGCTACCAAATGATAATGCATTCCTGAGCTCATTGCATAAACCGCGTAACAAATCGTAGAGTCATTGTGAACATATGCGGAGTTTTTTCCATGTAAATATGACAAAGTATAGTGTTGGGAAAAATAAGTGGAGGACGTTTGTGCTTTCAGTTTCTTCTGAATGCCCTTCTGTCCAAATGCTGCTGCATCTTTAGCTTCAGTTAGCTTCTTGGTACACAGATATGGATAAATGCAGTGCTTTGGAACGATACAAAAATAAGTGCTGTAAATTAGCTGATCGCTTTTTACCTATGAAGGCCAGTGTATTGGATAAATTCATCGACTTCAACAGCAGCCTGACATAGACTGGACTGATTGATTGCAGGCGTTTCGTTACACTTGAAAACAGCCTGAATTTGTTCATTAAATCCCAGAGCTGCTTCATGTGCTACAACTTCTCCATTCCAGCAGAGGATAAAAGCAAGGGTGAATGCTCTGTGATTCACTTCACAGTATCCCTGTGATCCTACTAAGTGGATCCTCTCTTTCAGCAGTTTTATATGGAAGTGAGGCATGAGAAAATGTGGAGAAGGAATTGTTGAATGTTATGTTTTGAGGGCTCTTTGGGTACATGGGTGAAAGAACACTTCTGCTACGCTAATTTTGCATGTAGTGTGCATCCCTGACAGTGGTGAGGTGGCTTTAAAATTCTTTAAAAGAAAATTTGCAAGTGTGGATGTGAACTATGCAGAGTCACTGGAACACGGATGAAACAGTAGGTTATGAAAATGCCATAAAATGCTGTTTACTGTCCATAAGTACACATGAACGTGACAGTGAATAGTACTATATCTCCATAGTGCTAGCTGTGAGGAGTCTGCAGAGTCCTTCAGGAGGAAATCTTGACAGAGGACTGTGTCCTGCAAAAGCCTCTGCCAGAGACTGGACTTTGGCGGTTTTTGCTGCCTGTGTATGCACACTCTGTAGTAAAATAGGTCTGCATAATAGGTGTAATATTGGCAAATTCTTTATTGAAGTGGGGGAAGTGAACGGTAGATAGTTCTATAAATATAGATGCTTAGAGATATGTACAGAAACAACTGCCCACTGCCTTAATGTGAAAAGAACTCCTACAGAAATTTGTGTTGCTCTGAAGGATTCTGCAGACTCACTATACAAGAGTTCGTGTATAATACAATTTTAATGGGTGGTAGGTGTATTGAAAATAAAGTATGGGATTTAACAAATTTAATATGAGAATTGGCTTTGGTGTCCATATTTAGATGTGGTTTTTTTAAATCACCCATTTAAACATGGCCAGTCATAGCATGTAGAAGAGTGCCAGGGATTGAGGACAGAGTAGGATACAACTAAATCAGTAAAGGTATGTGCCACAGGCTTGCACCAGCATTCTTCTATTGCCAAAATTATCAACAAACTTAACAGAAGAAAAGCTCATGATCTGTATTCTTCCAGCATTGCCTGGCATGTGCTCATTTTAGTTAACAATCCGCTAATGGGATCATTTTGTAATAAACCCTTATTTTCTGAGGCTTAACATTTACCTATAGGCAAATTTAGGCTTCCAGCTGAACCTGCCCACGTGGAACTGAAGTTTGTTTGTGTGTAGACTAGCTTGCGCACATCTGTCATTTTTATATGTTTACATTTATAAAAATAGAGAAGAGAAAAAGATCTTTACTCTTGAGGAATAGCATTCTTCCCTCCAGTGCATTCTTCTAAAGTTAACATTTCATTTTAGAAGAAAATTGCACCCATTTTACAAAGCATGACAACCTGAAAGCTCACACAGTAAGAAACACTTCTTACCTTCTGTAAGCTGTGAAAAGTTTTCAGATTATACTGTCATTTTAGAGCCTGCTGCCACACTGCTGAAAAGCAGCATCATTTGAGACATGTAGCAGAAAAACCCAGAATGAAAAATTCTTAACTGGTTTTCATTCTGCTCTGAGTCTGATTTGAAAAAGAGAATCTTACCATATAAAAATGAAAATGTAAAACTGGTAAATCTGAACATTCTTAATTGTGAACTACCATAAAAGTGAAATAGAAACTATTTTGTGGCCCCATGTTAGAATACAAGCACATGCAAAATTTGCTGGGTAAAAGCTGAAATTTCCCACCTTCATTTTTATTAGAGTTCTGTGGCATTATAAGTGTCAGATTAAAATTAATGCTGATGAGCAGTAGAGTAACTTTGTTCGTACTGCAGTTGGTAGTGGGGTAGCTCCAGTTTACTCAGCTGTTCAAGCCTATGTGATCATATATCTTCTCACTGCAAAATCAAATTAGTAGGAACATGACTTGCCTACTTCCCTCTTTCCACCCTCCCCCCAAAAAAATCTTTGAGAAAGTGTATTTGTTGAAAAGAGTTAAACTGATTTTCTTAAACACCGAGATACATAGCAAGTGATGCTTAGAGTAAACTGGTTGTCATTACAGAATCACTTTGTGCTTTCATTCCATAATCTGCAGGACTCGTGTCAAAGTACTTTCCTGCCAGCCACTTAGTATTAGTAAAAGAAATTCAGCCTTGACTCTGACTTCAGTAGGAGTTGTAACACAACTGAATCTGGCTCAAATAAATTCAGGAGTGCACTTCATTTCTAAGTAAGAAAGGTAATAATATCTGTCTGTAGGAAGGACTACTGCAAAGAAGTTACAGTATCAGGAAGCAAGGCAGAAAACTTTACGGGAGGCTATTTATTTAATTAAAATTAATATCCATTCACTGGAAAAAACAGCAATGGCTCATGGAACTGCTGGGTCACTCCCCTTGGCTTCACGTCTCTCTTTGCCTGGCTCTCCTCCAGTGTTGCCAAATTTCAGCTAATGGCTGGAGGGAGATACAGAGCCTGTCATATTTTCCAGGCTAACATGCAAGATGAATGGTGGCAATGCTTTTACAATCATTGGCGTTGGATGCTACCCCACTGCATCTTTCACGCTCTTGAGTGCCAGTCCTCAGCAGTGCTGTGTGGAGACATGGACGAAGTGGATGGTTCTGTAGCATCCGTGAGGTACAGCTAGGCTCTTCTTTAGAGATGTTCAACTAGAAGTAAGTTCCTGTTTACTTCAGAATAGTGCTGTCTCCTGTCCAAAGTA